AAGCACCCTATCTGCTGAGCTATCTGGCCCTGAAAGTCGCGCTTCTTGTTACAGACTCGGCATTAATAGGCAGTCATTTATGATGGATCTCGGTGAAAAGGGTATCGAACACTGCAGATGTTCCCCCCTTCTTCCCGCCAATTTCAGCCTGTCCGTTTTAGGGGCCATAACTGGCTCTGTGCTGGGGGTCACTTCCAGAGTGCTGGGGGGCCATCCAGGCCAAGGTTTGAACCTGAAGCCTGAGCTTGGCCCGAGGAGACACCTCTCCAGCCCTCCATGTCCAGTCTTGAACTTTTTTTTTTTTTGCTTTTTGAGTCACAAAAAGCAGTAACTCCTGGCTCTGCAGTCAAGAATTACTCCGGCGGTGCTCAGGGGATCATATGGGATGCTAGGAATCGAACCCGGGTTGGCCATGTGGAAGCAGTGGAAGCAAACGCCCTACCCGCTGTGCTGTCGCTCCAGCCCCTCCACATCCCATCTTACAGATCTCATGTAACAAAAAGCACAGCCCTTGTCCTTGGATTCGGGCCTGGGGAGATGGCGCATGCTTTGTGTGGGGAGCCCAGTTTGGTCCCTCTGTGGCGGTTGGCTAAGCGCCAGCACTGTTGAGTGCTTGCAGCCCTGGGCTCAGTTGCTGAACCATCCTGTGGCACCTGAGAGCTCTCGGCTACTCTCCCCATCTCTCTAAAATCACCTTCTGGATCCAAACCATAGGACAGTGCGGAGGACTGTGGCCTTGCACGCCATCAGCGGGGTTTGATCCCAGGCTCACCAGGAGTGACGCCTGAGCACAGCCCGTGCATCCCCGCCTCCTAAACCCAAAGACACACCTTGGCTTTCTGTCATTCTGTCAGCCACAATAAGTCTCTCCCTCTCTCTCTCTGTGTCTCTCTCCTTTTTTTTATTTTTACTCTTTTTTTTGGTTTGTTTTTGGGCCACATCCAGTAATACTCAGGGGTTACTCCTGGCTCTGTGCTCAGGAATCACTCTTGGCAGTGCTTGGGAGACCATATGGGATGCCCAGGATCGAATCTGGGTTGGCTGCATGCCAGGCAAGTGCCCTGCTCCCTGGACTAGCATTCCAGCCCCCTCTCTCTTTTAAAATTTTTAGGATGGGGCCAAAGTAGTAGTACAGCAGTTAGGGTGCTTGCCTTGTACACAGCCGACTCAGGTTCAATCCCGGACACCGCATTAAGAATCACCCCTGAGCACTGTCAAGTGTGGCCCCAATACAGAAGTAGGGGCTGGAAAAATAGTGCAGAGCTGAGGCGCCTGCCTTGCCCGTGGCCAAGCCTGGTTCCGTCCCCAGAAGCGCATTTAGCCTCCAAGTCTCACCGGTAGTGACCCCTGAGCACAGCTGTGTGTGGCCCAGTATTCTCCCCCCCAAATAAAATCAGTACTTGATGTTTACTTACTTGAAAAAAATTATTCATTTATATATTTTGGGCTGTTTGGGGATCATACCCAGCGGTGCTCAGGGGTTATTCTTCGGTCTGCATTCAGGAATCACTCTTGGCAGTGCTCAGGGCATTGTAGGGGAAGCTGGGGATCGAACCTGAGTCAGGTGCGTACAAGACAAATGCTCTACCCACAGTACTGTCCCTCGAGCCCCACAGGGTTTGGCTTTTGCAAATCGGATGCTTATATTTGATTTGACAGTCATTAAAGGAAACTGTTAAATAGTTGTTGTTTGGGGTCCCATCCTGCGATGTTCAGGGCTTACTACAGGCTTTGCACTCAGGAATTACTCCTTGCGGTGCTCAGGAGACCCTATGGGATGCCACGGGGCAAATTCAGGTCAGCCACATGCAAGGCAAAAGCCCTCCCTGCTGAACTATTGCTCTAGCCCCATAAAGTGGTAATAGTTCTTTAACTTTAAAACTGGTACCTGGTTGGGCCAGAGCCGTAGTACAGCTGATAGTGTAGCTGGGAGGGCTCTTGTCCCTCTTCCAGCTGCCCCAGGTTCAATGCCTGGCACCCCACGGGCCTCCTAAGCACCACCAGGAGTGATCCCTGAGCACTAAGGAGGAGGAAATCTCAGTTACCACCAGGTGTGACCAAAAATATTAAAAAACTGATACATTGTGGGTGCTGGAGCATAGCACAGCAAGGAGGGTGTTTGTTTGCATTGCACATAGCTGACCCGGGTTTGATTTCCCAAATGGTCCCCTAAGCAGGGCCAGGAGTAATTCCTGAGTGCAAGAGTAACCAGTGAGTATCTCTAGGTGTGATCCAGAAAAAGAAAAGGAAACAACCTGATACATTGTAACTATAAAAACATTGACAGAAAAAAGAAAACAAAACATTGACAGAAAATTTGCTAAACCTCTGGGCCCCAAGTAGTGCGAGTGCTTTGCTGCTGACCAGGAGGCTGATCCAGGTTGAATCTCCGTCACCCGATCGTCCCCTGGATCCCGCCAGGAGTGATGCCTGAGCACAGAGCCAGGAATAAGCACTGAACACTAGGTGTCGTGTCCGTCCCCCCTTGCCTTCTAGTCTGAGGTTAGTCTGCGCTCACTTGGCCTGGTTTCGGGGCTGTCTGGCGCCTGGATCGATCAGATTGACCCTCCTGGAGGTGTGTGGGGGTCAGTGCTGGAACAGGGGAGCCCACCCAGCCTTTGGGCACCTCCCCAGGGAGACGAGAGGCTGAGATACTATCTCCTGGCCCTGGCCTGCCCGGTCTGGCCTAGGGGAGGGGCAGCTGAGGACACCTCCCTTCCTGGTCACTCCTGCACCCTCATGGGCCTCCCGAGGGTTGGGCAGAGAGGGAGCGAGTGAGCCTCAGCCAGTGTGGCCCTGGATCCCCTCATGGAGCTGATGGAGACGCTGGACATTGCCACCAGAAGTGAAGTCGATCCAAGGAAGGCGATTGAGGAAGTGTTTCTGGCTTCGTGCTGTTGCAGCAGGAGAGCCTTAGGCAGCTGTAGTCCATCTGGCCGCCGACGGACGGGGCAGCACCTTGGCCTGTGTCCATTGACCATTGCCTGCCTGGGGTCATGCGTTGGGGCTCCCTTCCCGTCTGCTGAATTCCAGGGTCCCCTCACAGGCATGCGGGATGCTCCCTGGGGAACTGGGGGGACTGGATCGTCCTGGACCTCCCGCTTCTGCATTTGCTTAGCATGAATGGTGTTTTGGGCCACGCCCAGTGATGCTCAGGGGTCACTCCTGGTCCTGTGCTCAGGAATTGCTCCTTGCTGGGTTGGGGAGACCATAATGGAATGCTAGGGGTCAAACCGGGTCAGCTGTGTGCAAGGCAAGCACCCTCCCACTGTACTATCGCTCCGCTCAGGCCCCAAATACTTTTTTTCCTTTAACCCTGCCTCAGCGGTAGGGCATTTGCCTTGCATGCAGCCAATATGGCCTACCCGAGTTCGATTCCTCCGCCCCTCTTGGAGAGCCTGACAAGCTACTGAGAGTATCTCGCCCGTACGGCAAAGCCTGGCAGGCTCCCCATGGCGTATTAGATATGCCAAAACACAGTAACAAGAGTCACAATGGAGACGTTACTGGGCCCCCTCAAGCAAATAGATGAACAACGGGAGGACCATGACCGTGACCATGAACCCTGCCTCATTATGGTGTGGTGGAACCAGTACTTTTTTATAGTTCAGTGGAGAGATGAGCCTCTTGGCGGGCAGTGCAAGGTCAGGGTTAAGGAGTGCAGAGAGCAGCAGAGAGAGGACAGGGTAAGACACGAGCCCTTCAGACACGTGCAATCCTGGGCACCACAGAAGGTCTCCTGAGCACCAGTGGGGATGACTCCAGTTAACAGATCTAGAGAAAGTGCAGTACAGTAGTAAGGACAATGATGTTAGCTGGGGAGAAAGCGGGAGGAGGGAGGATAAGTAGGCAAGGAGGGCTTCAGAGAGGTAGTGGCACCAGGAGCTTCATCACTACTAAATTTGTGGGGGCGCATACCCAAGCAGTATAAGGGGCTCTCCTGCCTTTGCTTGGGGGTTGCTTCCAGTAGTGGGGGGGTGGGAGAGATCAAGCTCAAACCAAGCCTCCTGCAGGCAAAACAAACTGGTGACCGGCCCTCAGGCGTGCCCTTGGTGGCCCTGCATGCAGCCTGGGGAGGTCTCTGCAGGTAAAGGGGCGGGAGGAGCTCTGCTCACCCGCTGGGCTGCAGTCCTGGCGCCACATTTAAGTGCATTTCAGCTCAGGAGGGAAAGTTGGCTGGACCTCCCGGCTCGCTGCTCCAGTCGGCCGCACTGACCCCAGGGTGGTGGGATGATGACCAGTTTTTTCTGCTTTTTGTTTTGGGGGCCACACCTAGCAGTGCTCAGGGCTCACTCCTGACTCTGTGCTCAAGGATCGCTCCTGCTGGGGTCGGGGAAGCATATGCAGTGCCAGGGCTTGCTGCTGGGCTGACCATCGGGACTGTCCTGACCGTTGCAGGGTGGGTGCCCGCCCCGGTGTGCTCTTCCTGGCCTGGTCCTCAGCACTGCTCATCACCGCTCAGTGTTTTGTTTTGTCTTGGGGCCACATCCCCTGGTGCTCTGGGGTTACTCCCGACTGTGACTCAGTGCTCAGGGATCACTCCCAGTAGGGCTCGGAGGACTCAAATGAGGTGCCGAGATCGAACCCTGGTCAGCCACATGCAAGGCCAGCGCCCTCCCCTGCTATCGCTCTGGCCCACTTTTCATCCCCGTTAACGAAACCATGGAGCAGGTCTCAGTGCCGCCCTCCCTGCACTGTGGCCGGCCAGGCCCCTGGCAGTGACGCACAGGCCCTCTGCCCAGGGCACTGCCGCTCACCTGCGCCTTCCGGAACCCGCCCCCCAGCTTGGACTAAAGCTCTGGCAGGCCTGGCTGCTGCTCGAGAGCTGGGGGCGGGGCCTCAGCTTCCGAGACGAGGTCGGTGGGAGCTGGGGTGCCAGGTCGGTGGGAGCTGGGGTGCCGGGGCATCAGCCCTGGAGGGGGGCGGGGCCAGCCAGGCGACCGCCCACGGGGGGCGGGGGTGCAGGCGGGGCGCCTCACCCACCGTGCCCATGCCCGCAGGTACCTGAAGGAGTTCCGCACGGAGCAGTGCCCGCTCTTCGTGCAGCACAAATGCACACAGCACCGGCCCTACACCTGCTTCCACTGGCACTTCGTCAACCAGCGCCGGCGCCGCTCCGTGCGCCGCCGGGACGGCACCTTCAACTACAGCCCCGACGTCTACTGCACCAAGTACGACGAGGCCGCGGGGCTCTGCCCGGAGGGCGACGAGTGAGTGCCCACCTCGCCGCCCCCGCTGCCCACTGTGCCCTCCCCGCTCTCTCCCTCCCTCCGCCCGTGTCGGGCGCGGGGCAGGCAGCCCAGCCGCTCCGAGGAGAGTGACCCTCTGCGGCCCATTCCAGGTGCCCGTTCCTGCACAGGACCACGGGGGACACTGAGCGTCGCTATCACCTGCGCTACTACAAGACGGGGATCTGCATCCACGAGACGGACTCCAAGGGCAACTGCACCAAGAACGGGCTGCACTGTGCCTTTGCGCACGGGCCCCATGACCTGCGCTCCCCGGTCTACGACATCAGGTGGGCGGGCGGGCCGGGCTGGCCCCAGGCTCCTGCCAGCCCACCTCCGCCCCTCATGCCCACCCCGCCCTGCCCCTCAGGGAGCTGCAGGCCATGGAGGCTTTGCAGAACGGCCAGAGCACGGTGGAGAGCAGCCTGGAGGGCCAGTCTGCCAGTGCCGCCAGCCACGCCATGATAGAGAAGATCCTCAGTGAGGAGCCGCGGTGGCAAGGTGTGGAGCACGGGCCCTCTGCCCGCACCCCTGCACCAGCGCTCTCCCGGCATCCCTGCACTGTCTTCTCCCCACACCCCTGCATCAGCGCTCTCCCCACACCCCTGCACTGCCCCTACCCCCACACACACACACCTCTGCACTGGCTTTCTCCTCTCACCCCTGCATTGGCCCTCTCCCCTCACCCCTGCACTGGCCCTTCCCCTGCACCCCTGCATTGGCCCTTTCCCTGCACCCCTGCATTGGCCATCCCCCCCCACCCCTGTACTGGCCCCCTCCTGGCACCCCGGCTCTCATCCCACCCCTCCCTCCCACTGGGGACACTGACCTTCTCCCTGTCCCCCTCTCCCCACCCCCATCCCCTGCCACCACTCCCCAAATCCTGCTGGCAGCAGCTTGTTGAGGTGCACATCCCACCACCTCTCCCCACCCAGGCGCCTTAGCCCCTGCACCTCGACCCACCTTCCTCACCCCTGTCCTGCTCTTATACCCGGTGCTCACCCCCACCCTGGGCCCTTGTCCCTGGCCCACCACCCTCACCCCTGCCTGGCCCTGTGCAGAGACGGCGTACGTGCTGGGCAACTATAAAACGGAGCCGTGCAGGAAGCCGCCGCGGCTGTGCCGCCAGGGCTACGCCTGCCCCTACTACCACAACAGCAAGGACCGGCGGCGCGGGCCCCGCAAGCACAAGTACAGGTCAGGCCCTGGGACGCCCCCGCACCCCCACTGCCCTCCCAGCCCAGAGCCCGGTGCTGCAGCAGGGAGACGGGGTGGGGGAGCCAGGAACGGGGCTTCTGTGGGTTTGTATCCTCTGACCCCGCCCACATGTCCCCCACCCAAGGTCGTCTCCATGCCCGAACGTGAAGCACGGGGACGAGTGGGGGGACCCCAGCAAGTGTGAGAACGGTGACGCCTGCCAGTCCTGTCACACGCGAACGGAGCAGCAGTTCCACCCCGAGGTGGGGGGCTGGGGCCTTGGGGATGGGGAGCAGAAGCACTTGTTGGGAGCCCCTGGCCCTGTGCTCCCTCCCCACGTGCCCTGCAGGGCTGTGACACACACACACACATACACACACACACACACACACACACACACACACACACACGGCCTCGGCATCTCACCTGCCGACTTTCTGCACGAGGAAGGTGCTGGGGTGGGGTGTTGTGGGGTGGTCCTGGCGCAGCCAGGGCCCACGGCCCTGCCAAGGCAATAAGGAGCGTGGGGAGAAACCACCCTGGGTGGACGGGAGGCGCCTGGGCCAGCCTGGTCAGCTCGGGGCTGGGAGGAGAAGTGAGGTCGCGCTGACCCCCGGCTGGGTGCCGCCCTCTGTTCTGTGCCCTCAGATCTACAAATCCACCAAGTGCAACGACATGCAGCAGTCAGGCAGCTGTCCCCGCGGGCCCTTCTGCGCCTTCGCCCACATAGAACGTAAGACCTCCCCCCTTCCCCCCTCCATGCACCCGTCCGCCGCCGCTCGCTCGGCCTGGAGACCCACCCGTGGGGCAGCAGAGCCTGTATTCCATGGGAAACAAGAGAGCAGCAACCCAGCCCAGATGTTTCGAGGCCCCTAACAGCCTTTCTAGTAATCACGCAGGGGGGCAGGGCGGGACAGACAGGCTCCATTTTGACAATTTCTTAAAAATCCAAGATGAGGGACCAGAGGGATGCATCAGCCTGGGTTTGGTCCCTGGCACCACGGAGGGCCCTAGCAGTACTGCCAGGGTTGTGCCCTGTCGGGCCTGTCGGGTCTGACCCCAAAACAAAAATAGGGGTCAGAGCAGTAGCATAGAAAGAAGGCGCTTGGCTTGCACACAGCCGATCCGGGTTCGATCTCCAGCACCCCTGTGATCCCTGAGTGCAGAGCCAGGAGTAACTTCTAAGCATCGCCGGGTGTGGCCCAAAAGCAACACAAACTCCAGTTCGATCTGAAATCTCCTTTAGAGAAGAATCGTGCGGGGCGGGGTGGGGTGGGGTGTTGAGGATGCCCCACTATTCCCTCCAGCCGAGCCCTTGGAAGCCTGCACCTGCCTGCGGCCCACTGGGTCCCCCACCCTCCGCAGAGCTCTGGGACCCATTGAGAATTGGCTGGGAGGGCCGGGGGCTCAGGCTGACCCAGGTCTGAGATTGGGCTGTCCCGAGGCCCCACCTGGGCCTCAGTGTCCCCAGACTGAGGGGGGTGCAAGGCCGGGGCCACAAGCACGCCCTGGGCAGAACAACTGATGCCTCCCCCGCCCCGCAGAGCCCCCCCTCAGTGATGAGCTGCCGCCTTCCTCCGCCGTGTCCAGCCCCACCCAGCCTGGCCCTGTCCTCTACATGCCCTCCGCCGCCGGTGACTCTGTGCCCGTGAGCCCCTCCAGCCCACACGCCCCTGACCTTAGTGCTGTACGTGCCGGGGGCAGGAAGGGGTGGACGGGGAGGGGGCGCCCTGACTGTGTCTTGGGACTGGACCCCAGAGACTGTTCCTGCGTCTGGAGCTGGGGGAGGGAGGTGGGGGTAAGTAGAGGCGACGAGGCCTGTGGCCCCTCACCCGCCCCCTTTCCATCTCAGCAGCTCCTCTGTAGAAACAGCGGCCTGGGCAGCCCATCCACGTTGTGTGGGTCCCCCCCGGGCTCCATGAGGAAACCCCCCAACCTGGAAGGGATTGTCTTCCCCGGGGAACCCGGCCTTGCCCCCGGCAGCTACAAGAAGGCGCCTGGCTTCGAGAGGGAGGACCAGGTGGGAGCCGAGTACCTGAAAAATTTCAAATGCCAGGTAAGGGCGGGGGACTGCGCTGCGGGCCGGGGGTGGAGCGTTCCCCCGACCCGACCCCCCCAGAGGAAGATGTTGGGGTGAGGCAGAGCCCCCCGCCCGGGGCCTGGCCCACTTGGCAGAGACGCTCAGGGTCACCCAGGGAAAGGATGCAGCTGGGGGGCGACCCTGTAGCCTCCACGGGCCCCTCATGTCGCAGCTCAGGGGGCTGCCACGGGGGACCCCCCTCCCATGCCCACTCATCCACACCCGGCTTTTCTCCCCCAGGCCAAATTAAAACCCCACTCCTTAGAGGCCCGGAGCCAAGAGCAGCCTCTGCTCCAGCCCAAACAGGTAGGGGCCCGGTTCCGCACCCCCCCCGCCCCCCGGCCGGGCGGGGGCTGTTTCTGCAGCTCCACCCCGCCACCCGCCCCACCGCCTCTCTCCCCGCTCTCGTTGCAGGACGTGCTGGGCATCCTCCCCGCGGGCAGCCCCCTGACCTCAAGCATCTCTTCTAGCATCACGTCCAGCCTGGCTGCCACGCCCCCCAGCCCCGCAGGCCCCAGCAGCGCCCCCGGCATGAACGCCAACGCTTTGCCCTTCTACCCCACCAGTGACACGGTCGAGTCAGTCATAGGTAATGCGGACAGGCTGGAGTGAGATCACCGGGAGCCCCGAGTCCGGAGGGTGGGCACTTGGGCCCCGAGGGCAGGGCCGATGCACTTACAGCGCCTCCAACCCACGGGCCTCTCCACTCCTTCCCTGGAAGCGTCCACGTGTGCTGGTGGCAGCCTGTCCAGCATCCACCCCCCACCCCCCACAGCAGCTGGGCCCAGCCACTGTCTCTGGCAGGGCCTCAGCGCTGCCCTCCTTGTGCTGTGCAGCAGGGGGCGCTGTGAGTCTCTGGGCACCACCGGGCGCCCGTTTCTGGGACTGGGCTGCTGTGGGTCCCTGCGGGCGGGGTGGCATCAGGCATCAATGGCAAGTTCCAGAATGCAGGAGGCCTGACAGCCAGGGAAGGGCCTTGAGCCTGAAGATGGGGGGCACGGGGGTGCAGAGGTGGCCCCTGGGAGGTAGGGGACTCACCCCATGCTTCTCTCCTCAGAGTCGGCCCTGGATGACCTGGACCTGAACGAATTTGGGGTGGCTGCCCTAGAGAAGACCTTCGACAGCAGCTCCGCACCCCACCCAGGCAGCGTCACGCTTGGTACTGGGGACAGCCTGGGACCCGGGGCCCCTGGAGGAAGGGGGGGGCGACCCGCACTCACCGCCCCCCGCGCCCGCAGGAGGCAGCCTGCTGCAGAGCTCGGCGCCCGTCAACATCCCCGGGTCCTTGGGCAGCTCCGCGTCCTTCCACTCAGCGTCCCCGTCCCCGCCCGTCAGCCTCCCTTCACACTTCCTGCAGCAGCCCCAGGGCCACCTGAGCCAGGCAGAGAACACCTTTCTGGGCACCTCTGCGTCCCGTGGCTCTCTGGGTAAGACGGGGGGCCCCGAGCCCCTGGGTGAGCCCAGCAGAAGGAGGGAGAGTGAGGGACGGGGCGTCCTGGGTCTCTGGTCCCCACACGTGCCTCAGTCACTGCCCACAGGTGTCCCAGCCACCCGGCCACACTCTGACCTCTGTCCAGAGGGGGCTGTCACCGACGTCACCCCTGGAGTCCTAGCTGCATGCTGGCTCTGGCCCTGTGTGCAGAGCCTGGGTAGGAGGTGTGTGTGTGTGTGTGTGTGTGTGTGTGTGTGTGTGTTTGTTTGTGTGTGTGTGTATGCTGGCTCTGGCCCGAGACGTCACCCCTGGAGTCCTAGCTGCATGCTGGCTCTGGCCCTGTGTGCAGAGCCTGGGTAGGAGGTGTGTGTGTGTGTGTGTGTGTGTGTGTTTGTGTATGCGTATGCTGGCTCTGGCCCTGTGTGCAGAGCCTGGGTGGGGGTGGATGGGTGTGTGTGTGTGTGTTGTGTGCGCGCGCGCCCATGGCCCTGCCCTGTCTCTGTGTATATTCGTGTGTGTGTGGGTATGTGCGCATGACTGTGCTGTGCCCTGGCCGGGAGGCAACTACCACCTTGTCTTCTGTCTGCGGGAGTGCCTGGGACCCGAGGGATAGGCCTCATGATCTGGAAGTCACACAGTGACTGTCCCCCATCCCAGAGGAGCATCTGGGAGAGGCCCAGGCGGGTGGAGAAGGTATGAAGCTGGAGCAGCACTGTCGCCTGTCTCCCAGGAGAGCGGCCTGGACTGGTCAGGGCCTAGAGGCCTCCCCGGAGGCAGAGGGGAGGAGCTCAGAGCCCCCACCGCAGCCTCCACCAAAACTCGTGTGTGTGACTCTGGGGGCCACACCCGGCGGGGCTCAGGGGACCCTCTTGGGTGCTGGGGATTGAATCCGGTCAGCCCTGTTACGGTAGGCCCCTGGCGTAGCCGTCTGGTGTGGGACATCTGTGGGCATGTGGGCAGCAGGCACAGAGGTGGCTCGGGGCGCACGGGCAGACCAGGAGCTACAGGCATTGGTGCCACGGGGGCACATGCCACCAGCCCCAGCTCTGCTACTGCCTGCCCGTCTGGTTCCCGGCAGCACGTGGACTCCGCTTCCCTCGCTGGCCCTCCCGCCCTGCTGTGGCCCGAAGCTGCCCCAGGGTCCCTGTCAGCTTCGCAGTCACCCGAGACCAGGGATAGGACAAGGATTCTGGGCCATGGCTGAGGAGGAACAGGGCCCCCTGTACCCCCAGCCCTCGGCCCTGATGCTCCTCTGCTTCCCGGGGCAGGTCTGAATGGCATGAACAGCAGCATCTGGGAGCACTTTGCCTCTGGAAGCTTCTCCCCGGGCACTTCCCCCGCCTTCCTGTCAGGGCCCGGGGCTGCCGAGCTGGCGCGTCTGAGGCAGGAGCTGGAGGACGCCAACGGCACCATCAAGCAGTGGGAGGAGTCGTGGAAGCAGGCCAAGCAGGTGTGCCCCGCCTGCCTGCCTGCCCTGCCTGCCCGCCCGCTGGCCCCGTCTCTGGCAGGGGTGGGGGAGCCGGGCTGGGCCTCGGAGCTGCCTCTCCCCGGAGCGCATGTCCCGGCTCGGGCTGCCACGTAGCTCGCCGCGGGGCCCAGGACCCTGGGGGAGGGGGCATCTGCCCTCTGGAGCCCGGGGGTGATGAGCCCGCGACTTGGGCCCGCAGGCGTGTGACGCGTGGAAGAAGGAGGCCGAGGAGGCGGGGGAGCGGGCCAGCGCAGCAGGCGCCGAGTGTGAGCTGGCCCGGGAGCAGCGGGACGCGCTGGAGGCGCAGGTGAAGCAGCTGCAGGAGGAGCTGGAGCGGTTGCATGCGGCTGACCCGCACGCCCTGCCTGCCTTCTCCGACCTCGAGGCACTCTCGCTGTCCACCCTGTACTCCCTGCAGAAGCAGCTTCGCGCCCACCTGGAGCAGGTGGACAAGGTGAGCCTGGCGCTCTGGGCAGGGGGCAGGAGGGGGGCCCCACGGCGCCCGGTGCTCACCCCGCCTCACCCCTGCCCGCCCACAGGCCGTGTTCCACATGCAGTCGGTGAAATGCCTCCAGTGCCAGGAGCAGAACCGGGCCGTGCTGCCGTGCCAACACGCTGTGCTGTGCGAGCTCTGTGCTGAGGGCAGCGAGTGCCCGGTCTGCCAGCCGGGCCGGGCCCACACCCTCCAGTCGTGACCCTGCAGCCCGGCGCCGGCCCAGCCCGGCCCCACTAGGACTTTTTAAAGTATCTATATATATGTATGTATGTATGTATGTATGTATATGTACATGACTCTGTATACATCTGTGTGCGTGCAGCCGCGCGCGGCCAGTGTGGGAACAGTGTCTGTGTCTGTCTCTGCCGCGGTGCAGACACACACTTTAAACAGACTTACCAAGCACTTTTTAAAGAAGAGACTATTTTGCAGCCCCCTCCCCCTGCAGCCTCCGGCCGGGATTCTCTTTTTTACACGTAGGAACTAACTCTTTGTAACTTCCTCCTGGGGCCTGAGCAGGGGGATGGGGCGGCCCTGTCTGCCCCCCTCCCCGGCCCGGGAGCGAGAGCCGGCAGTGGGTGAGGGGGGTCCCCGAGGCGGCCCGGGGCCCCGGCATGGAGGCCGGGCAGCGTGTGCTGGGTCTGGCTGGTGGCCGCAGCTCCTAGGTTTACCAAATGTGTATTTAGTCCGGGACTAGAGGCCAAAGCAGCAGCCCCGGGCCCGCAGCTCCTGGAGGGGCAGGGCCGCTGGCGTGCCCCCTCGGCCCTCCCCCCTCCACTCCCAGAACCGCCTCCTTTGGCAGCTGTGGGGCCTCGGCGGGAGGCGCCGTCCGCATTCCTGGTGCTCTGAGTGCAGTGAGGTCCGGGCCTGTGGCGCGGGCGCTGTGCGTGTGTGTGCCTGTCCCGTGGGTCTCGTGTCTTAGCTTCCATTTAAACATTGTTCTGTACAGACAGGCAGCGGGCGGGAGGGTGCGGTCGGGGCAGCCCCCCAGCCGCTCCCGGCACTGGGGACCGGGGTGGGGGCAGGAGGGCTGGAAGGGTCTGGCCCCAGCCCAGGCCCCCCTTGGACTCAGCACGGAAGAAAGGGCTTTCAATGAATTAAGTGAAAACTTTTTTTTTATAAAAATGCAAAAATCAACAAAGCTCCAAACCTATTGGAAATAAAATATGAACTTGCAGTGATGGCTTGTTTTCATGGGGAGGGGGACAGGGCACTCGGGAACATGTCTGGGGGTGGGGGTTGGTTCCCCAGGACTGACTGTCCCAGCCTCAACCGAGGGAACAACCACCGGGGGCCCAGAGGGCCTGCTTGTCTCCGAGCCAGCTCGGACCCCCACTCCGGCCCAACTGACACCTCACTGTCCCCAGCTGTGGCCACTCTGGTGCCCCCACCGAGGATTCCCGCAGCTCTGTGACAGCTGTGGCTGTGGTTTGCCCCACCCACCTGAGCCAGACAGCTCAGGGTCCCCTCTGCCTGGTGGGACCAGGGACACGGGAGCCTTAGCACGGGCTCTGGCTGGCCCTTGCTGGCCCACACAAGCACAGGGGAGATGTGATGGCCAAGGCCTCGCCTCACTGTGAGAAGGTTTTGAGCTCTGGCTCCCATGCAGGCCCACCTCCTCCAGGCAGGCCTCACAGTCTGGCCCTCCCGTGAGAAGCTGCTTGTCCCCTCCACACTCTGGGCTCCCTGACCTGCAGGTCCTACGGGCCCTTGCTGGGCCATAGCCAGGGGGTGGAGGGGCAGGGTGCAGGTAGGTGCATTCAGAGCCCTTGATCCCTTGCTGTGTCCCCGCTTCTGCCTCAGTTCCCCCCCCCCCAGGTCGGCTACAGTGACATGCTAGAGGACAGCAGTTTGGTGGCCTCGGTTTTTATTTTATGAAGAGTGTCCAGGTGGCAGGTGCTGTCCCAGCCCCACTGTCCCTTCCTCTCCTGTCTGTCTCTGCAGCTCCTCTCCGTCCCAGTACCACCGCCCCTACCCTGGCACTGACATGCCCCGACCTTGACTGGACTTCCTGGCCTCCTCCATACCTCTCCATCCCTGACCACTAGGGGCAGCTAAAGCCCCTTTTTGGGGGAAGGGGCTCTGCATGTAGGTGCGTGGGGATGTGGGAGAACCGGGCCGCTGTGGGATCGGCGGGGCTGCTGCTTGTCCCACAGGGGTGTGGGGGGGTGGGACAGGGCCTCAGAGGCGCTCATCTTGGGGCTCCACCTACTGGGCTGCCCAGCCCCCGCGCCCCCCCCCACACACACACACACAGTTACGGCCGCGCTGTGTGCTGGGAGGCCTGCTTGGCCCGCTGGCGCCGCAGCCTCACAAACACCTGGGCCTCGCGGTCGCTCTTCCGGTTTTCCAGGAGCTGCAGAATGGGGTCCCCTGCGGATGGATAAAGAGCTGACAGTGGAGGAAAGGCCGCACAGGGTGGCCAGAGGGACACGGTTGCCCCCTGGGGCCCAGACCTACCGTTTGGGGCTGGGTAGGTGAGGGGCAGGCGGGTCTGTGGCACCTCACCAGGCTCGTCTGGCCCGGCTAGGCCCGGCACGGCACCCAGTGGCAGGAAGGCCTCCCCCTCCAGGTCGTCTGTGCCCAGTGTGTCGTGGTCCAGGACCGTGAGCAGCAGGCAGGCTCCAGCCTTCTGGCATGGCTCGGCGGGCACCAGGCTGCAGGTGGCAGCAGCTGGTCAGCGCTGCCCCTGCCCCCCACAGACGGAGCCCCCTGACTCCTGCCGTCCAGCCTGGACTAGTGGACAATGTCCACGCAAGGCTGCCTGTACCCCAGGCCAAATCTGGGCTCCCTGCACCCCGTCTGGGGGACAAGGCACTCGGGAACATGTCTGGTTCCCAGAGGCCACCCAGCTCGGGGGACAGGTTGGGGACACTGGTCGGGGGGCGCCTCGTGCAAACCCACTCACAACTCAAAGGTCTCATCAAATAGCGGATGAAGTTCCTTCTTGTGCTTCTGGGTTTCCCGGGGGGCCAGCTCGGGGAATTCGTGCCTGGGCTCCAAGGTCAGCTGAACAAAGGGGTCACTGGAGCCTGGCAAGTGTCCAGGAGAGGGGACATTAGCAGGGCTCTCCCACCGGGCCTAGTTGCTGTGTTCCCCCCCCCCACCCCCACGGCCCCGGGCAGCACTGTCCCTGCCTGGGCATCCAAGGAATTGTAGTGGGACCCCCAATGCTCACCGTTGTTGTCCAGAGGTCGCAAGCTGGAGGCGCTGAGCAGCTCCACCCGCAGCTTCTGCTCTGATGCCCGGTAGGAGGCCTTGAGGGTGACCGCCCCCAGCTCCTCTGAGATGGTCTCGGCCTGGGGTGCGGGGGCAGCGTGAGCAGGGCCGCATGGCGGGGGGGAGTGAGGCCCAGAGGTTGGGGTAAGGACGGGCAAGCCCACCTGCTGCTGGATGCGGCTGCAGTAGTATTTCTGGATGAGCTCCCGGCTGGAGGCCGCCTGCAGCTCCAGGTCCCTCTGCAGAGCCTGCCGGGGAGCAGCGGCCGGCTCAGCTCTCAGGGGCCTGGCCCAGGAGCAGCTGCCAGTCCGGTGAGCGGGGGTTGCTCCCGGCAGCGCCGTAGGGACCAGGTGGTATCAGGAATCAAACCTGGGGCTCTCGTGTGCAGACCAGCCCTTTGAATCACCTCCCTGGTGCCCTCACCCTTGTTCTTCAGTGGGGGTCACACCCAGCGGTGCTCAGGGATCGCTCCTGGCCGGGCTCAGCGCCTTCGCTGCTGTCCTCTCCCCAGAACCCGGGGCTATTTCTGTTGTTTTGTGTTTTTGTATTTGTTTGGGGAGACATATGCAGTGGTTTTCTTTTCTTTTTTTTTTTTTTTTTGGCTTTTTGGGTCACACCTGGCGATGCACAGGGGTTACTCCTGGCTCTGCACTCAAGAATTACTCCTGGCGGTGCTCAGGGGACCCTACACGATGCTGGGGATTGAATCCAGGTTGGTCACATGCAAGACAAAAACCCTACCCGCTGTGCTATTGCTCCAGCCCCCATGCAGTGGTTTTCAAGGCTTACTCCTGGTTCTAAACTCATGAATCACTCCTGCCAGGTTTAGGGGACCGTATGGGGTGCCAGACACGAGTGCCCTCTCCCTGTCCTGTGGCCCCTGCCCTGACAGATGTTCCTTAACGGGACCCACACTTCCAGTGCGGATCTGACCACACTCACAGAGCAGCCCTACCTGGAATGTGTCAGTGTGCAGGGCCTCGGGTGGCAGGCCACAGCCTTCTGCATAGAAGCAGACCTCCAGGCTCTGGGGAGAGACATCAGGGGTGAGTCCCGGCACTCTGCACCCCATCCTCGCTGCCACCGTCACCGCCGTTACCTGCAGCGCCAACTTCAGCCTGCCCGAGGCCAGGGGGCAGCTGCGCTGGGAGGTGGCTGCCTCCGCCAGTACCGAGAGAGTATGTGTCCAGAGTAGGGTCAGGAGGCTGCCAGCACAGGACAGGACACTCAGCAAGGGCAGGCCTGGGGGGGGCAGATGCCCCAGCTCTGCCCCATCCCCACAGGTCACAGGGGGGCCAGGGCCATGGCACGCCTGTGGCAGGGGTTGTCGGAGAGTGACCCAACCCAATCAGCGGGAAGGGCGTTTGCCTTGCACGTGGCTGACCCAGGTTCAGTGATTCAGAAATCACCCAGGGATGATTTCTGGGTGCAGAGCCTGAGCATCGCTGGGTGTGACCCAAAAAGCCAAAACAAAACAACCCCACTAAAGAGGGTGTTCCCAGGGGCCCATAGCCTGCCCAAGCTGGGGCCAGTGGGCTCCATCCCCAAACACTTCTGCCCAGACATTGCTGTCTGTGGTCACTGCAAGTGACACAAATCTCACAGTGACTCCACACAGTGCCGAGCCCAGGCCCCAACGTGGGGTGCAGCCCCATCCTTGGCCTCTAGCCCTCCTGCCCCAGGGACCGTGCCCCGCTCTCAGACGCCAACAGGGGGCAAGCAGGAAGGAGCAGGGCAGTTCGATCCCTCCTGGAATGCAAGCAGGAACTCAGGACTGCTTGGGCAGAGCCGTCCCGAGCAGGGCTGCAGGTGGCCTAGGCACAGGACACACACCTGCTGAAATTCTCCTGTACCAAGTTGGTGTTCATGTAGCACAACTTCAGCTCCAGGAACTTCATGAGGGGCAGAATGGCCTGCGGGGTTGCGGGGGGAGGTTGGGGGGTTCAGGTGGCTGCACCCTACACTGTCCCCCGGCCTGTGGGGCGGGGCAGGGTAGGGCGGGAGTCTGGCTCCACGTGACACAGAACCACATCTTGTCTGCCTGGTCATATACCCTGGTCTCTCTCACCCTGCAGCCTTTGTCCTGACTGCCCCCCACCCTGCCCCCCGCCCCCCATTCTCCAGCTGCCTTCTGTGCTGCCTTCATGGTCAGCCTGATCCATATCCAGGAAGCGGGTTCTGTGCGGTGAGAAGCCCAGCTCCACACACTCAGCTCGTCTGCGAGCACGCTGTCCGTGGTGGAGGCCTGGGTTCTCGCGTGCTTACTGAGAAGTGGACAAATGAATGAAGGACCTGGCCCCGAACAATCACGGGTGTGAGAGAATGCCCACACTGCCCGGTGAGGACATGGACACCCACCAGCTGGCTGTGATCTGGGGACAGTAAGGCTGGGAGCAGCTGGGAAGTCTGGCCCGAAGCCGCCACACAGCGCTGGGACCAGCCACCCCTGGTCTGGTGGCTCCCTCGACCCCTGCCCACCCAAGTCCCGCAGCAACCTCAGATGCACGGAGCAGGCAGGGAGGGCCCACTCACATCCTCGGGCAGGACCGACTCGCTGACGCCCACCAGCTTCTGGATGTGCTGGGCGATGCCCGCCTCCAACTGCAAACAGAAAGGGGCCAGACTGACTGGGGTTCCGGCTCGCAGGGAGGTGGGCCCGAGCAGCGGGGGTCCTCGGGTACCTGCTCAGCCAGGGTCCGGACGCCGGTGCGGATCTCGTGGTTGAGCCCGGCCAGCGCGCCCTGCAGCTGCGCGTGCAACGTATTCTGCAGCTGGCCCTGCTCCAGCACTGCCCCCACCCGCTGCTCCAGGGCCTCCCAGGCCAGCTGTGAGGGCAGCTTGCCGATGACCAGCCGCAGCTGCTCCATGTCGTTCACCACCACGCACAGCTGGGGGCAGCATGGGGCCGGGATTCAGGGCTTCCGGGACAGGAGCCCACCGCGCAGGGCCCGCCAGCCCCCAGCTCCCGCCTTACCATGTCAGCCGCCTGGCCCTGGTCCTTCTGGCCTGCAGACAGCTCCCGGGCCCGGGCCTTTATTAGGCTGCAGTACACCAGGGCCAGTCGGCATGTGTCCTAGAGTGGCACGGGGTTAAGGGACAGTCAGTGCCGGGGGTGGGGGGTGTGGGGAGGCAGAGCAGGGCACATGCAGAGAGGAGTGGGGGTCTCTGGCAGGGAAGAGGGGTCAGGAGGTCTCTGGGGGCTGCTGCCTGAGTGGGGTGGGAGGTACAGGTGGGGTAGGAGGTGTCACCTCCACAAACTTGACAGTGATCATGAAGGCCACCTCTGGGTCGGGCCAGTCCAGCTGCTGGGCGGTGTGGCTGATCTGGGTAAAGCAAATGGACAGGTCCACCGCCGAGGTGCTGTGCTTGGTCAGTTCGCCAAGGGGCACGAGCTGGGGAGTAGGAGAGGCACAGAAAGAAGGCTCAGGGCTGGCGGGGCCCATGGCCCTCAGTGCCGGGCCCCCATGAGCATTCAGAGCTGCTCTCACTAGTACGGAGCCAGGAGAGGGGGCCATGGCAGAGCCAGCCAGGCTCCCCTCAGACGGTGCACCCCAAAGCTGTCGGGTCACATTCCATCAGCCCGGTTACCAGGTCCAAGGGGGTTCCAGCCCTGAGCTGAGGCCCCGCCCACAGCCCTAGACCCCGCCCCACACCAAGGCCCCGCCCACATCATAGGCCCCGCCCCACGCTGTCCCACTCAACCTGGTCCATCTGCACTGCACGCTGCACTCGGGCCAGGGCCACGCTGTAGGTCTTCTGCAACCAGGAGGGGATGGCTGGCTGGAACCAGCGGTGGAAGCCATCCAGGGCCAGGACTCCATCCCTGCGGAGGACTGAGCTCAGCCAGGCCGCCCCTTCTCCTCCCCTCTGGGCCACCGTCGCACACAAGGCCGGCTCGCTGCCCACCTCTCTGAGGGTGCTGGGCCCAACTGGCAAAGCTCTTTGAGGCTGACGTACAGCTGGAAGAGACTCTCGCCCATCTCCGGGGACACGGGGCTGCCCACCTCCTCCGTGTATTCCTGTACCCGCTTGGCCACCTGCAGAGCGAAGCCCTTTTGGCGGGGTGGGGAAGGAAGGGGTGCACCCGATGGGGGCGCATCATCAGAGGAGACTCACCAGCCACTGCAGCTCCAGGAACGCGATGGAGAAGAGGTCGATCTTGAGGACGCTGGGGAAAGGCGGCCAGGTGTGACCTCAGGCACTCCACTCCCTGGGGCCCATTCCCGCCTCTGGCCCCCCACTCACTTGTGGAAGATCTTGTTCCACGTGCGCTGGCACTGGTGCAGGTCCCCAGCGATGTCCTGCACCAGGCCCAGCAAGGCCTTGCCCTCCTCTAGCATGCCCTGGTGGGGACAGAGTGGACTGAGCAGAGCCGCTAGGGGCACGCACCCCCCCCACCCCCCCAGAACCCCCTGGACCCTCACCTGCACCATAGGCTGGTGCTGCTCCTGCTTCAGGTGGAACCACTCGATGGTGCCAGTCTGCGGCCAAAGAGCTAATAAGCGGGGCGGGGCGGAACCGGGCACATCCCCTCCCCGGGGGTCCCTAGGGTGCACGGTACCCGCAGGGCCTCGGTGACCAGGTCGGGGAGGGGGGCACTGTTGGGGCACAGCTCTCCAAAGGCCTTCATCTTGCACATCTGCACTAGCACCCTGTGGAGACAGCCGCACCCCATCCCTGCAGGCCCCTGCTTCCCATCCCAGAGAGCCCCCACCGCGGGCTGGCCAGGGTGGCCCCCTGACCTGAGCAGCGACTGCAGCCGCGCCGGGGAGTCCGAGACGGACAGTGGGAAGACGGCCCGGAACCTCCGGATGAGGGAGAGGCCGTAGGCTAGTAGTGAGCTGAAGGAGGTGGCCAGCTCCTCCAGCTGCGGCCAGAGGGGCGGTGAGCCAGGCATCCGAGAGGGCTCGGGACGCCCCGCCCGCGGCCCGCCCACCTAGGCCCCGCCCACCGAGGCCCCGCCCACCTGCTCCGCCTTGAGCCGGCCCTGGATCCACTGGTACTCCATGCTAGTGATGGGGAGCAGGAGGCAGCTGCTGGGGAACTCCATGCTCTGGTAGAGGCGACTGTAGGCCAGCCACTGCCTGCGGCAGACAGGAAGCCCTCAGCTCCACCCTCCCTGCTGTGCCCAGGGAGCCCAGCTGCCCCTGTGGAACCCTCAGAACCCCCATAGGGGGGAAAACCAGCGGCTGAAATCCTTTGGGCCACACCTCGTGGTGCTCGGGTGCTCTTCCCCGTTCATAGCTTGGGGGTCCTCTTGGCAGTGCCCAGGGTCCTGCGTGCAGAACCCACGATCAGCCCTGGGTCACCCGCCTGGACCAGAGTGAGCGCTGCTCTCTACTGCTGACTCACATCCCAATCTCACCCGTCTCGTAAATTAGGGGGCCAGAGGGACAGCAGACAGGTAGAGACACCTGTCTTGCATGTGTCCCATCCCATTTTGACTCTCAGCACCACGTATGGTCTCCTGAGCATTGGCAGGAAGGCGTATCCCTGAGCTCAGAGGCAGGAGAAAGCCTTAAGCACTGCTGGGCATGACCCAAAATCAAAAACGGGCCGAGGTAGTACAGCAGGTAGAACGCTTCCCTGGCACGCGGTCAGCCCACGTTCAATCCCCAGCATCCCATAGGGTCCCCTGAGCACCGCCAGGAGTAATCTCTAAGTGCAGAGCCAGGAGTGATCCTTGGGCTTTGCTGGGTGTGACCCTCAAAAACAAAAAAAATCAACCCAAACCCAAAATATTAGGGTATTTGTGATTAAAATATCCTGACTGGGGTCAGGGAGACAGTTCACAGGGCTGGGGTGCAGGATTTGCACGTGGAGCCCTGGGTTCAGCCCCCAGCACCAGTTTCCCCAGCTTGGCCAGGTACGGCTCAAAAATCCAGGAACAAAATTTAGACTGGGATGTCGCTCTGTGGCAGAACACAAGCTTCACCTGCATGAGGAGCCAGGTTCAATTTCCAGCTGGGCCAAATTATAAAGAATATTCAGGATTTTTTGTTGTTGTTTGGGGCTACATCCAGCAGTGATCAGGGATCACCCCTGTCAGGGTTCAGGTGACCATATGCTATGCCGGGGATTGAACCTAGGTCAGCTGTGCACAAGGCGAGCTCCTTAACCACTTACCATCTCTCAGTCCCTCAGAATTTCTTGAAGTCTAGAGAGATAGTACAGGAGGTAAAATGCTTGCCTGGCTGATCAGGTGCGATTCCCAGCACTACATACAGTCCCCTATGGCCATCAGGGATCACTGCTGGGCACAATGCCTGGCATAGCCCAGAGGACCGCCAGGTGTGGCCTCAAATTGCCCCCCTCCAAACAAAACAAAGTGAATTTTTTTTTTTTTTTGCTTTTTGGGTCACACCCAGCAATGCTCAGGGGTTACTCCTTGCTCTGCACTCAGGAATTATTCCTGGCGGTGCTCAGGGGACCATATGGGAAGCCGGGGATCAAACTGGGGTTGGCTGTGTGCAAGGCAAATGCCCTCCCTGCTGTACTATCGCTCTGGCCTCACAAAGCGAAATTTGAAACAATCGCAACCCAAAAAACTCTAGGGGCAGAGATAGCACAGAGGTGAGTCACTTGCCTTGTGCAAGGCAGACCCCAGCCTGTTGGTCCCCTGAGCACTGAGCCCGGGATAGACGCGGAGCACTGTGATGGGATAAACCCCTCCCCTGAACCAGAAGCCTGGAGGGGTACACGCGGGGCTCCTCGTGTCCTGTCGGGCAACTCACGCCATGGACTGGTGGAAGTCAGACAGATCCTTCTGGGTGGCATGCAGATGGAGGATGGTGGTGGCCTCGGCGCTCAGTGACCCATCCCAGGAGGAACTGCCGGCCTGAGGGGCAGATGGGAGGGGTGAGGCCCTGCCCCCTCCCCAGTCTCGTGCAGGCCCACCCTGCACAGTGGGGGACCTACCTGGTGCTGCATGCCCTCATGGAACACCAGCTGCTGCAGCAGGCGGAGGTGGACCTTGTAGCTGGGCTGAGACCGGCTGGCCACAGTGGCTCTCTGCAGGGGCCAACTGGGATGAGCGGAGGCCCCATGCCAGGGTTAGCCCCTCTGGCCACTCTCGCTGGGCTGGGGAAAGCCCGTGACCCACCCGCTTGTGAATGAACTGGAACTGGAGGTGGCACCGGCCTCGGTCTGGGTAAGTCTCGGTGCGCGGCTCCAGGGGGTACCACTGGTCCTCCCGGCAGTGCAGGTCCTGGCGAGAGTGGCAGGCAGAGGATGGTCCACTGTGAGCGTCCAGAGGCGGCAAGCCCAGGTTCTGCACGCTGCAGCCACACTCCCTTCCTTCCCTGCTGCCCTCCCCTTCCCGCGCAGCCTTTTCCTGTAACTCCTCACCTGCAGCCTGAGGACCACGTTTCCCAGGAAGTCATCCTGGCCTCTGTCCTTCCGGGCCTCCTTAAACATCCTACAGGGAGGGGAGGCAGCGCGGCAGGAGGCACTTGCCTCACTCACCAGGGAAACCCTGGTGCTGCAGGTGGTCCCTGAGCGCCACCAGGGGGCGCACCTGAGCACAGAGCCAGGGTCCCCAGGCATGGTCCCAACAAGACCCTTGCCCTGCAGGGTGCCCCACCTGGGGCGCCCCTCCTCCCGGCCCCTAGGGCTCACCTGCGCAGCCCGTGCAGGTCCGTTAGCTCGCCCAGCTTCTGTCTGACCGACTCCACCGTGTCCAGGTCCCTGGGGGGCACAGGGGGAGTGTCCCAGAGCCCGTGACCCCTTGGGAAAAGGGACCCCGTTTCCCAGGCCCAGAGCAGCACAGGCCCCTCACCACATGTCCAGGTGGAAACTCGAGGTGTTTATGTCCTCAAACTCCCTAGAAGGAACAAAGAGCAGAGCCTAAGGTCACCCCTGCCCCCCAACCCAAGCTACCCCGGGCTAACGGGGGCTGAAGGTCCCCCCCATCCCAAGCTAATGAGGGCTGAAGTTCCCCCCGCCCGGAGCTACTGCTGTCACCGCCCCCCCCCCAACATCCTCCACCTGCCTCTTTTATTGGGGGTGCACACCCAGCAGTGCTCAGGGCTTATTCCTGGCTCTGAGCTCATAGGTGACTACTGGCAAGCTCAGGGGACCCTATGGGGTGCCAGGGATCAAGCTCTGGTCATCCCTGTGCAAGCTAAGGGCCCTACCCACTATACCATCACATCGGATGCCCTCCTCCTTTCACTTTGTCCTTTGCGGTGCCAAGCCCCATAGTGCTTGGGAAGTGTTGGGGTTGCTCCCAGGGGTGCTCAGGGACCATGTGGTGCCAGAGATGCATTGGAGTTCCGCCCTTTGAGCTGCTTCCTCCTCACCCGACCCCCCTGCCCTCAGGGACAGGCTTAACCCCCATGTCAGTCCAGAGGTGCCAAAGGCCCTGCCTGGTAGCACAGGGTGACTTCAGTCTCTGCTCCGGTCCTGTCCCCTGCCCGGGTTTCTCCTGGCACAAGTTCCCTGGCGTGGGCCCAGCAACCCCCCAGGGGTGGGCCGGACACCTGCAGGTCGGGGTCCCCAGGGTGGGCCATGGGCACCTACAGGATGGGGTCCCCAGGGTGGGCCATGGGCACCTACAGGATGGGGTCCCCAGGGTGGGCCATGGGCACCTACAGGATGGGGTCCCCAGGGTGGGCCGGGCACCTACAGGATGAAGGTCTCCTCCCACACAGGGTTGAGTGTCTGGCTGATGACCTGGGTGCGGTGCATTTGCTCCTCCGGGATCGTGTGTCGGACCACGGCCTTCTGCCGGCGCCGCGTGCCCGGGCTGCCCCCCGGTGTGCCCAGCCCCTGCTCGATGCCCAGTAGGCAGTAGGGGTCACTGAAGCCTAGGGGCCGAGGCAGCAGGGTGTGGGCTGGGCTCCCGAGAGACCCCTTCCCGCCCCCCAGGCAGAGGGCGCCCCTGGACAGGTCGCTGGAGATGGGTCAACTCACCGCTCACATCCTTGCCCAGGATGGCTTTGGCCTGCTTCACCGTAGCCTTCAGGCAGAAGATCGGCTTCTGCAGGGACCCGAGAGTGGTTAGGGCAGGGGCCGGTTTGGAGTGGGGTCGGGACCCTCTGCCCCCCACCCATTCCGGCCTTGCCTCCAGCTCCTGCACCGCCCGCAGCTTCTGCTGGTGCTCCTCGGGCTCCAGGTGGAAGGCCTGGGGGGGGGAGGGGGCGGTTTGGGGCCTGGTGGATGTGGGGGGCCTGAGTCCAGGCTGCAGGGGCAGGGGCTGAAGGGACTGGGTCTGGCCCCCAGGGGTGTGGCAGTGGCTGAATCCAGGCTGTGGGTTGGGGGTCCAGGGAGGCGTCTCACCTCCTGCAGGTACTGCAGCAACTGGGAGGCCTGGGAGACATGCTGGGGTTCAGGCTGCCCCAGGCGGTGGAGGACACTGTACACGGCTTCCTCATAGAGCAGGTCCCGCTGAGACACAGCAGCGTCACGGGGGTCCCCCGTGCCCCTCCTCCCACCGCCCACCTTGGTTCCAGCCCTGCCAGCCACCCAGCACCCACAGGCACCCACACGACAGGGCCCCTTGGGGGGCACCAAGTGCTGCCAGGAGCAGGGGTCCCCACCCCCACCCGTCTGCCACCATCCATCAGCCCCGGCCAGAGGCCCAGTGGGTGTCTGAGAGCTGCCAGGGGCCCCCTTCCCGGCACCAGACGCCCTGCCCCCGCCCCCAGTTCCTACCTCTTCAGCGGAGAGGTGGGGAGATGACGGCTGGGGCTGGGGAAGGAAGAAGAGCGTGTCCAGGGCTGGCGCGGGTGCCCTCGCCCATGGGGGCTGCACCCCGCCTCCGCCCCCACCTGTTCAGTGGCCCCCGGCCTGCCCCCTGGTGGGCTGGAGCTGGGGTCCATCTGCAGCAGGAGCTCGGCCCGCGGTCCCCACCTCCTTCCGTCCCCGGAGGAAGCACCCTGCTTATCAGCGCCACGCGTGCACCGGGCGGCGGAAGTGAGGCCCAGCAGCAGACGGGGGGTACCCGAGGGGCCGGGGGGCGGCCCTGCTGGCCGGGCAGGGCAGCCGGTGGCGCCTTGGGGATGGGCGCTGTCCCATCAGGGAGGAACTCAGAGGTTCGACCGCTACAGAGACAGGCCTGGGGAGGCCACACCCGGGCAGAGAGGTGACTGGGCACACCCAGACCGCAGGACCCCACCCAGCTCCGGCCTACCTCGGGGGCGCTTTGGGGCAGGGGTTCTTGCAGGTCCCGGGCCTTGCGGCGCCTTATCTTGATGGCCTGGCGCAAGAGGGGCGGGCGCCGCTGCTGCCAGGGCCCAAGGGGGGCCGCCATGGCCGGGCCTTGCCCACTGCTGCCCGCTGGCAGGCACTGGATGGTGTCGCCACCGGGTTATGCAAAGCGCCTAGTGCGGCTGCCCGTGCCCGGGAGGGGGCAGGGTTTCATCATGGGGTGGGGGCCGTGTCTTCTTCTCTTTGCGCTGTTGTGCCCGCGGCTCCCGTGGGCGCTGTCTGGGCTGGAGGCAGAGGTGGCCCCAGTGGGCAGGGGCGGGCGAGCCCCTCCCTCCCGGCCCGGCCCAGGGAGGGCCCAAGATCCCCAGCAGGGCCGGCGGGTGCCAGTCCCCTGACCCCATTCCAGTTGCTGTGTCCCACAGGCCCCTGGGGGTGGATGAGGGACACCTGGATCCAGGTGCGCAGCCTGGGGTGGGGGTGGGTGGGGCACAAGAGGCACGGGGTGGGGGGGGTCCAGGGAGGCTTCTCCCTAGGGACATGTTTGACACATTTGAGGTGTCACTGAGCCTGCTCAAGTGCTCGACCTGCTTAGCCGGCTCCACCCGGCCTGGGCTGCCCCACCCTTGGGGACATTCCACCCAGGTGACTGGGCCCCAGGGACAGCCCTGGGGCCTCTGCGCCTATAGGAGGGCCAGCAACGTGCTTTCAAATGCCCTTGTGTGGGGTTACCCAAGCCTGCGCGCTGGGCGGGGCCCCAGAGGAAGAAGCAGCCAGGGAAGCCGCCCCTGGCCTACCTACCGGGGACAGGCAGGAACCGGCTGGAGGAGCCCTAGCTCAGCTTCCATCACCCCCACCCTGCCCACCCCCACCCACCCCGAGGCTCAGGGCCGCAGGTCTCGGCAGGCGATGGCCTGGGGCTGATGCTCTACCCGCAGCGGCCTCCTGGCGAAGACAGAGAATATGGGCACTGGCCACCCGTCCCCCACCCCCATCATGCCTCAGCCTGGGGCCAGTTTCCCCCCCAAAACACACCCTGGTCACCCATAGGAGCCAGACGACACCAGTCACTGCGTTTTTACTAGTACACATTCTCAGCTGACAAATCAAGGTGCAAAGGGGGTTTATTTCACATTAATATATTAACTGGATTTGTGTGTCAATAAATAGGGCTTCTCTTTAAATAACCATCTCCTCGCATCACGCCAGCCCAGGGACAAGTGAGTCAGGCAGCTCCAGGAGGGGGCAGGTGCTCCCGCCCCCAAATGGCAGGAGGGACCCACGAGCACTGGGCAGTTCCAGTCTGAGAAGGAAAAGGGACGATGAAAGGGCCGGGCCGGCGGGCCCTGCCCAGCAACCCGCAAAGTCGCAGAGTGGGGGGCAGGCGGCCGAGCAGGCACTGGGGGCGGGGTGTGGGCTGGGGTCTGGCAGCCCCCGTGCGAGGGAATGTGACAAGGGCCTGGGGGGCCCCGGAAAGGCAGGGGGGCAGGCAGGGGCTGGACGGCGGTGGCGGTGGCCAAAGAGTCCCTCTGTAGGTGGAAGCTACTGGCGCGAGCTGGAATGCGGGACGACCGTGCCAAGACGCAGCCCGAGGGGCGAGTGACGTGGCTGCGTGGCACCGGGCAAGCAGTGGGGGGAGGGGGGCGCTGCCCTGCACTCAGGGCCCCCCTCTCCTCCTGGCTGGGTCCTGACAAATCTGCACATCAGAACTGGAGACCAAGAGGCGCCCCTCGTCTTCTTGCCTGGGCCGGGGGAGGGAAGGACAGGACGGGGTCTACTGCGTCTTCTTGTCCTCTGGTGGGTAGTAGGGGGGTGGGGGAGGCTGGCTCTGTGCAAGGAAGGAAGGCAAGGTCAGGTGAGGAAGGTCCTCGGGAGTCCCCACCTCCTGCCCCCCCCCCACGGCCCCGGGGTCTTACTGCAGGCATGTACACATTGTGTGGGTTGCCCGGGTTGTAGTAGGCGCTGGCAGCCGCTTCAGCTGCCTTGGCTTCAGCTGCGGAGCAAACGGGCCCGGGTCAGTGCCAGGCCGGCTGCCGAGGCCCTCCCGGCCACCCTGCCCACCCCCCCAGGCAGCCCAGCCCTCCCCTCACACCTCATCCCCACCCGGCACTCAGGCTGAGGGGGACAGGTCTGGCCCCCACCAGGCTGGGCCCTGGCCACCGTTCCCAGGGGTGCGGCTGTGGGAGGCAGGGGCTGGACTCGGGGTCTCACCTGCGGATGTCGAGGGGGCATCAGGGCCGCTGACCGGAGGAGGGTCCATGGGCCCGGGGTAGGGCGGCGGCGGGGGCTGCACGTAGCCCATGGCCCCATCCATCATGGGTGGCCCCGGGTAGAAGTCTGCTTGGTGGGAGAAACGGGAGAGATGGGTGTGAGGGGCCCACACCCCCCTCCGAGACCCGCCCCTGGCCTGGGCGGGGGCGGGCACAGGGCACTCACCAGGTGGGGGCGCTGGGTAGGGGTAGCCGGGAGGGTAGGGGTACATTCCATTGGCGACGGGCGGGGGGGGCACATAGACCCCGCTGGGCATGTAGGGGTAGGCGTAAGCTCCATTGGGGACCTCACCTCGGGACGCTACAAGGACATGGGAGAGAGATGTGAGTGGCGCTGGGGACGAGCGCAGACCACTCCCCCCAGCCCGCTCCGCTCCCGCCTGGGCAGGAGGGGGATACGGGGTCAGGAGGGGGACACGGGGTCGGGGAGGACTGCCAGGAGGAGGGGACATGGGGTCGGGGAGGACCACTGGGAGGAGGGGGACACGGGCAGGGAGGACTGCCAGGATGACGACATGGGGTCAGGGAGGACTGCCAGGAGGAGGGGGACACAGGGTCAGGGAGGACCACGGGGAGGGGGACACGGGCAGGGAGGACTGCCAGGAGGAGGAGGACAATACGGGGTCAGGAAGGACCACAGGGAGGGGGGACATGGGCAGGGAAGACTGCCAGGAGGAGAGGGACATGGGGTAGGGGAGGACTGCCAGGAGGAGGACAACACGGGGTCAGGGAGGACCACGGGGAGGAGGGGGACACAGGCAGGGAGGACTGCCAGGAGGAGGACAACACAGGGTTGGGGAGGACTACCAGGAGGAGGGGGACACGAGGTCAGGGAGGACTGCTGGGGGAGGGGACATGCACAGGAGGGGGCGGGGGAGGGTCAGCGCAGGGCCGGGGCAGTGGGGGACAGAGGAGGGTCTCAGGCACACATCCCAGGGACTGAGGAGCGGGCAGCCCAAGGCCTCTGGGGAGGAGGGGAATTGGAAGCACGGGGGCACCTCCCAGGACCCGGCTCTGCCCCCCTCACAGGGCGTCAGACACCAAACAGGGGTGGGAGCAACAGTCTGGCGGGCCCCGCATGGGGCCGGGGCCCTGGCAGGAGTGACCCCGGGTGCAGAGCCAGGAGCCGAACCCGAGCTGCCCTGGGAGCAAGCAAAGGCGGTCCTGGCGCTGGCAGTACCTTGGGAAGCCACCTGCAGCATCCGCTGGCCGAACTCGATGGCACCCCCCGCCGTGAAGGTCAGCTTGTAGGTAGCCGCGCCTTCCCAGCCGCCTGTGGACCAAGGGACAAGAGGGGGTGGGGGGTGGCCTCCCCCAACTGAGACTCATGTCCTCCCACCCCCAGGAGCAGGGATGGGTGGCAGTTGTGGCCGGGTCGAGCTAGAGCTGCCCGGGACTCAGGGCAGGCCTGGGAGCCCAGGCCAGCTATGCCCAGGGAGGCCCAACGGCTTCTGGACAGCCATGCTTGGCCAGAGCATGAGGGGGCTGAGAGGTTTGGGGTCTCAGGGGGGCAGCTGGTGTGTCCCCAGAACTCCACACCGGTCCCTGCTGTGTGCCAGGCTCTGTGCCAACCCCCCAGGCACACCCCCGGACGCCCCAGCTCCTGGAGCTGATCCTGGAAGTGGACATAGCCTGGATAAGGGTCCAGAGAGGATGCATCGGGGGCGCCAGGCCTTGTCACCCACCTCCGGCCTCGGCCTTCACTGTCCCCTTGATGTAGTTGGCGCCGAACACGGGCTGCTTGATCTCACAGTCCTTCATCAGGTAGAAAGGCATCATGAAGGACTGCATGGGGTCCTTGCCCTTGGACAGGAAAATGATCTGCAGAGGACAGGCTGTCACTGAGTGGGACCCGCAGGATCAGGGTGGCCGTCAGGGGCCAGGGAAGGGGCCGGGCGGTAGCTCAGCATTCGAATTCTAGGGAGCAGCTTTACTTTTGCTTCATTTGGAGGCCACACTGGCTGTGCTCAGGGCTCACTCCTGGCAGGGCTGAGGCTCGAAACTCGGTCAGCTGTACGCAGGACGAGGGTCTTACCCCCTGTACTATCTCTGGCCTCTGGGAAGCTTGTTGTCAAAATCAAACAAGACAACTGGACCAGAGAGAGGGGTCTGTGCCCTGAATACGGCAGACCCTGCATTGGTCCCATCACGAGGTCCCCCGAGGGTTACAGGCCCTCGGCACCGCAGGGGCCCGGGCGACTGCATCTGGCCGGCCGAGAGCCACAGCGAGCACAGCAGCTCTCTCCGGCCCCGTCTCACTCGAAAACTCTCTCTCCTTCTGCTTCTTCCCCTCTGGAGAAGCCCGTGTTCCCTCTTGAACACATACACCCTCCTCTCCACCTCTCTCCTCATGTCTAAGTACATTTTGTTCATTAAAAAGTAGCTTACGGGCTGGAGCAATAGTGCCGGGGGTAGGGTGTTTGCCTTACATGCAGCTGAGACCAACCCAGACCCAGGTTCGCTCCCCAGCACCCCATATGATCCCCTGAGCACTGCCAGGGGTAATTCCTGAGTGCAGACTCAGGAGTAAGCCCTGAGCATTGCCAGGTATGCCCCCAAAACAAAAACAAAACAAACACAAAAACCAAAATAACTATACTGCTTCACTAAAAAAGGTAAAGGTAAAGTCCCTCCCGTTGATCGTCGATTTGCTCGAGCGGGCCCAGTAACGTCTCCATTGGAGACTTTGTTGTTACTGTGTCTGGCATATCGAATACTCTCGGTGGCTTGCCAGGCTCTCCGAGAGGGGCGGAGGAATCGAACTCGGGTCGACCATGTTGGCCGCTTGTAAGGCGAACGCCCTACCCGCTGTGCTATCGCTCACTAAAAAAATCAAAACAAAAAAGACCTGCAGTGAGGGGCTGCGGGCCCTCCCACAGAAAAACCCACTATTTAAAAAATCCTCTCTACAGCAGAGAGGGCATTTCCCTCGCACATGGCTGAGCCAGATTTGAACCCCGGCATCCCAAATGGTCCCCAAACACTGCCAGGTATAATTACTGAGAGCAGAGTCAGGAATAACCCGAGCATCGCCAGGTGTGGCCCAAAAAGCCAAATAAAAAATTTTTCTTTTAAAACCCTCTGGTGTTGGAGCAATAGTACAGCGGGTACCATGCTTGCCCTGCATGCGGTAGGCCCAGGTTTCATCCTGGCACCCCATATGGCCTCTCAAGGTTCTATCCTAGCACCCCAGATGGCCCCTAAGCACTGTCAGGAGTAATCCCGAATGCAGAGCCAAGAGTAATCCCTGAGCACCGCCGAGGTGGCCCCCAAACAAGAACAACAAAACCCCCTTTCCCTTCTGTTGAGGTCGCCGTGATGACTACAGCATGCCAGGGGCTCAGCAGGGCTCCGGGACCAGGTGGTGCCAGGATGAAGCCAGGATTCCAGCTGGCAGAGGCCAAGTACCATAAACCCCCCCCACATGCCCGCCGCCACCTCTGTGGGCTGCCCCCCTTGTGCCCTTGTGGACACCTGTGCCGGAACCCGGGCAGAGCTCTGAATGCAGAGTCATTTCCTAGCCATGGTCCTTCCCCCTCCCCCCCCCTGCCCTTTTTTCTACATCCAATTCTACTCAGGGCTTATTCCCAGCAGGACCTGGGGGACCAAAAGGTGATGGGTTGACCACCTGGGTAGGCCGCAGGCAAGGCAGAGAGCCTTTTCTATTTGATTTTTTTTGATTTTGAGGCCACACCTGGCAATGCTCAGAGGTTACTCCTGGCTGTCACTTCTGGTAGTACCCAGGGGACCATATGGGATACTGGGAATCGAACCAGAATTAGTCACGCACAAAGCCAGAGCCCAGAGCAGCCTTAAAGAGCGCTTTTCCTAATTTTTTTTGGTGGTGGTGGGGGGAGGTGTCACACCCAGCAATGCTCAGTCCCCCTACCCCTGGCTCTGCACTCAGAGGTCACTCCTGGAGGGCTCGGGGGGGCCATAAGGACGCTGGGCATTGGACACAGGTCAGCTATTTGCAAAGCAAGCGCCCTATCTGCTGGACTATCATTCTGGCCCAAGGAGAAGCCCTTGGGGCAGGGAGAGATTCAAAGGGCCTGAGCACATGTGGGAGAGCAGCTTTGATCCCAGCGCCCCAGGGCCCCCCAGCATGTGGGAGCAACCAAGCACCAGCCAGAGCTGCCCACAGGAGCCAGGCACCGCCCAGTGTCAGGAAACAAAATGCAGAAGATCCGACGGGCGGCCAGGGGGAACATGTGGGAAGGGCGGAGGGCTGCAGGCAGACAGAGGCAGGATGGGGTGGGGGTGGGGGGCACCGAGGACACGAGGGTGGAGCATGAGCAGGAGACTGTGCCCGCGCGGGGGGAGCTTCCATTTCACACCCACGGTGCCCGTCTGTGACTGACGCTGCTGCAACTCTGCCAGCACGTAGGACGGAGACACTGCTCTACCACCTGCCCGCTGGACCTACCCACAGCAGGCCACAGGCCGTTCTCGAAAGCTCTGGGCTGGGGCTGGAGTAACAGCAGAGCTCAGCAGGTAGGGCACTTGCCTTGCACGTGGCCGACCCGGGTTCGATTCCCAGCATCCCATATGGTCCCCCGAGCACTGCCAGGAGTAATTCCTGAGTGCAGAGCCAGGTGTAATCCCAGAGCATCGCTGAGTGTGACCCAAAAAGAAAAAAAAAGAAAGAAAAAAAAGCTCTGGGCAGCTATGGGCACTCGCAGGCCAGACCCGCTCGGGAGCAAGGCCGATCCGGTTCTGCTGGCCAAGCCGGGCTCCCTGCCCAGACCTGAGCCCATCCTGTTAGCACTGACCACTCCGGAGCGGCGCAGGGGCCACCCCTCCTCCGGGCCTCCGGCCATGTGCCTGGGCAGCCGCAGCTCCACAGCACTCTGGACTCACGGCCTGGACAGGTATGGTGAGAGGCCATGGGGGCTCCTCGGCCCCCCACAACTGCAGTCCCCAAACCTCCCTCCGGCTGCAACTCACCCGGTAGGGGGTAAGGTAGATGGTGCCTTTCTTGGTCCCCTTGAAAGCCTCCGGCACAGTTTTCATGTCGTTGAATGTAAGTTCCACATGCTCGTAGGTCATGAGGATGCTGTGGGAGAGAGACCTCAGGAGCCTGGCCATGACCCCAACCCCCGACCCTGACATGGGCCCTAAGCCGCTGCCAGGCTGCAAGGAAACCTGATTTGGGGTTTTCAGCCTCTTCTGGCAGTGCTCAGGGCTTATTTCAGGCTCAGTGCTCAGAGTTCACTCCTGGTGGGGCTAAGGGACCCTAAGGGGGTGCCAGGGAATGAACCTGTGTCAGTCTCCTGTGAGGCAAACACCCTGCCCGCTGTCCTATTGCTCCCATTCGGGCACAAGGAAACTCAAAACTCAGTCACAAAGTTTGTGATATGCAAGAGGCCCCAGGTTCAATCCCCAGCACCATCCACCACCCAAACCCCAAAACTAAAAAAGTTTCAAACTGGTGCTTTGCAGACATCAGGCTGAAGCACTTTCTCAAACAAAGCCGAGTATGAGTTCGCAGCACCAAACCCGCAACACAGGGAGAACGTCCAGCGGGAGAGATACAGTTCCCGTCCAAAAAATATTTGTTTGGGGGCCATGCTAGAGATGCTCAGGGCTTACTCCTGCCTCTGCACTCAGGGATCACTCCTGGCATGAGAGCCATATGGGATGCCAGGGATTGAACCCAGGTCAGCCGCTTGCAAGGCAAGTATCCTACCTGCTGTACTATGGCTGTCTGCCCCCCTCCCTCCCAATTTTTACTGGGAGAAAAAGAAAAGGTATTTCAAAGAGAAATTTTAAAAAGCCATTCCAAGAGAGGGTGTTCATTTACCACCACAGGGGGTTGGGAGGAGGGTGCCAGGCTGACCGTGCCACTGCTATCAGCCAGCAGAATGTGACGTTTCCCCAAGGGAAAGATAACAAGGGTGGCCTGGGAGATAGCGTGGGCGGGAGTGCACGCCTTATGTGGATGTGACCCCAAGTTCCCGCCCAGGTACTACATGGTTCCCCCAGCACTGCTGGGTGTGACCTCCACCAAAAAAAAAAATATTGAAATAGGGCCAGAGAGAGGGTAACGGCAGTTAATGTTCTTGTTTCGGATGAATTTAATCCCAAGCTCCTCAAAAGTTCCCCTGAACACCACCCTGAGCTCTAAAGAGCCGGTAGCAGCCCCAGAGCACGCCAGGTGCGGCCCCAAAACAAACTAGAAAATTTTTTTTTCTAAAGATTAAATTAAATTCAATCTTTAATTAAAGATGGGGTTGGAGAGATAGCACAGCAGGCAGGGAGGCCTGCCTTGCACACGGCTGACCCTGGTGTGTTCCCTGGGATCACGTTAAGGCCCCCTGGGCATAACCACAGTGACCCCTGAGCACACAGTCAGGAGTAAGGCCCGAACACAGGTGGGCACCGCCCCCAAACAAAAACAACAGAAAAATGAAAGGTAACAAGGTCTCGGACCACACGGTACCATGAGACTTCTTCCACTTTCCAAAGGTTAAGAGTCTCTGGCAGGGAGGAATGTGCGGCAGGCAAGGAGATGGGGTCAGAGGGGAGAGTACAGAGGTTAAGCAAGGGGGTGGCCTGCGCCAAGCCGGACGGCCCAGGCGCCCTACAGGAGGGAAAAAGCAGCCCAGTCCGCTAAGACCCTGTCATCCTATCCGCGCTGGGGCTGCTGGACGGGAGCGAGGCTGAGCTGGGGACACTGCACTGGCACAGTGGCGGGGGCCACCCCCAGGACACAGCTTCCTCCTCCTGGGGTCTAAGGCTTCCAAGGGGTGCTCAGGCCCGGATCCCCCGAGGCTGGAGGAGAGAGAGTGCACCACAGTGCGATGGGGAGCAGGCGACATCTGACACACGGTCCCTCCCAGGCACCGGCTTCTAGCCGAGCGCGGTCGGTCCAGCGCACTCGGGCCAGGGACTTTATTTATTCATGCAGTTCTTCAGCTTGGGCCGATACCCGGCAGGGCTCCGGGGACCATCTGGGGGTGCCGGGGACGGAGCCCGCCGCGGCTTGGGCCAGGCCAACGCCCTCCCCGGCGCTGTCATCCCGGGCACGCCCCTGACCCGGCCTCAGTTTCCCTCCCCGTCACCTGAAGCAGCGCAGGGCCCGGGAGTAACGTAAACACCCCCGCCCGCGGCTCCCAAGTCCCCTGAAGGAAGCGACTCTGGGAAGGGCCCAGGCCGATCCCCGCCCGGATGCCCCCCGCCCCCAAACGCCCCCAACCAGCCGAAATCGGCCCCTCCCCCGCGACCCTCCCACGCCCCCGCCCCCCGCCGCCCCGGCGTGCGGACGCCCGCCGCCCCCGCCTCCGCGCCCTCCCACGATGTCCCGCGCCCCTCGCACTGGGGCTTCACCTCTCGGTGTTGTTGACGATCACTCCGCCACCCTCCGAGTGGTTCTTGTTGAGCGCCATAGTCTCGGAGCAGGGTCCCGAGACTCGCGACGCAGTGCGCCTGCGCGCCTCCTCGGCCCGCCCCCCGCCGCACCGTTCGTCTCGGGGCCAGCCAATCACAGCTCTCGTTCCGAGGCTCGTCCAACCACCTGACCGCGAGCGTCACAGAGCACTCGCTTCCTCTTTCCCTGCGCTCTGGTTTCGCCTGCGTCACAAACAAGTTTAGGACTACAACTCCCAGAAGGCAGTGCGCCTCCCCGCCGCCGCCTCTCCCGGCTCCAAGGGTGCGGACCCTCTGGGATTTGTAGTCCCTCAGCCGATAGGGTTGGCTGGAGTTCACTAATTGCATAACTAATTGGCCAGCGCCCTTTCCCCCCTCCCCAGTCCCCACCTTGTCCCCAAGAGGCCCCGGAATAAACACTTGGACACGTCACGGGGTGGTCGGTCTTAAGGTCCCTGAACTCAAAAACCGGCAGAGTGAGGGTGACCTACGCCTGTCATCTGCTCAGGTCGCTTAGGGAGCGTTTTACTCTGTGTAGTCAGTGGGACGGGGCAGGACGTGTGGGCCGGCTTGGAAATTCCGAAAAAAACTGCCACCCGCTTTGTGAAAGTCAGTCTACGGCCCCAAAGCCGGGTCCGAGAGGCTCCGCCTGCGTGGGGGGCGCTGGGGGGCCTGGAGCCGCTAGGTGGGCCCGCAGCGCCCCCTCCCGGTGCCCGCCTCCCGCGCCCGGCCTCGCGGTGGCGCTGCTCCCTCTGGAATGTTCCCGCTGTGCCGTAGGCCCTCCCTGCCGCGCCCTGGCTTGGAAGGTTTAGCCCAGACTTGGGCGCCTTGTGAGATCAGCCGCTTAGCGACGAGGCTGACTCACTCGCTGTGACGCAGCCCCGGGCGGCCCCACCCCCGAGGGGGAGGGGAGTGTTGGGAGGAGGGGCGGCTCAGGACAGTGTTGGAGCATCATTCATCTTTTTTTTTTTTTCTCTTTTTGGGTTACACCTGGCAATACTCAGGGGTTACTCCTGGCTCATTTTCATTTTAATTTCATCATCCTGTTATTCGTCGATTGCCTGGAGCAGGCCCCAGTAACATCTCTTTCATCCTAGCCCTAAGATAATATTCAAGGCTCTTTAGGAGAATGAGACCCATCATTGTTACTGGTATTTGGCATATTTGGTACGCCACGGGGAGTTTGCCAGACTCTGCCCTGTGGGCAGGCTACATTCGATAGCCTGCAAGTTTGTCCAAAGTAGGAATGAGATAATAAGATGTCATAAAAAGATGTCGTGATAAGATGTTCGAGGCATTCGCGGCTGCGCGGTTCCGGGAGCTGGATTTTATAGTCTCTGAGTCTTGGCCGTTGATGGGATTACACGGCACCAGGGGACCAGGTGGTGGGTGTGACCCCCCGCCTACTGGAATTTGGAGGATCTGGGTGGAGGATGCTCGACTCCAATCCGAGTAGGCTTGAAGATCTCGGCCCCGGAACCCGCGTGGATTTGTCCCTCTGCCAGTACCTTCATGTGTGCGGAGAGTGGTCTCAGCATGGTGGTGGCTCCTGGCTCCTGGCTCCTGGCTCAGCACTCAGGAATCACTGACTACTGGGGGAATCCCTATGGGATACTGGGGATTGAACCCAGTTTGCCCGCGTGCAAGGCAAACGCCCTCTCCACTGTATTATCACCCCAGCCCCACATTATTAATCTTAAGACCAGAGTTCGGCCTAAGCAGTCAGCTGGTTTCCTAACCTTTTGTTATGGAGCACCGCACGGTGGTGCTCAGGGCCTGCTCCTGACTTGGGGATGGGGCTTGCTTTCCGTGGTGCTCAGAGGACCACTGGTGCTGGGGAGTGTGTGGAGTGTTCGCACCAGCCCCCCAAGTTACCTGCTTACACCCTCAGAGAGGTTTCTTTCTTTCTTTTTTTTTTTCTTTTTGGATCACAACTGGAGATGCACAGGGATTACTCCTGGCTCTGCACTCAGGAGTTACTCCTGGCAGTGCTCAGGATCATATGGGATGCTGGGAATTGAACCCGGGTCGGTCGCATGGAAGGCAAATGCCCTACCCGCTGTGCTATCTTTCCAGCCCTTTTCAGAGTCGTTTCTGGGGTGCCAGGACTAAGAACACCTCCCTGGAGAAGATGATGGAACAGCTCATGCCTTTCTGCGAGGTCTTGTGCAAAACCAGGTTGGAACTTGCAGGCCTTGGCTGATGCATGAGAGAGAGAGGTGTGAGGAAACGGGCGGCAGGGACAGAGGATCTGGGCCGATGCAATCTCAAGCTGCCTTTGAAAAGAATGAAGTCAGACTCCGTGGTGACCGTTCCCTAATAAGTCAGTGCAGAGCTGCCGTTGGTTTAAAAGGTAGAATATGTGGGACTGGAGAGACCCCGTGGGGGGGAAGGTGCTTGCTTCCCATACAGCTGACTCGGGGGCAATCCCTGGCACCACACAAGACTCACCAGGAGTGAGTCCTGAGCATCACCGATCGTGGCTCACTCCTCCCTCCAAATGGAAGCTAGAGTGAGGAGACAGCTGAGGGATGCTCAGAGTTGAAACCTACTTTGGTTTTGGGAGTCCCTGGTTACGTTCCACACTGTCCCTTGAGTACCTCCTGGAGAGACCCCACATAAACTACAAGCACTGTGGTGTGCAGCTACCCAAACAAAAATGATAATCATAGCAATAACAGTAATAATAAGTAGAAACTAGCAGAAAAGGTCTGGAAAGAACCAGACAGTGAAGTATTATTCTTGTAGGTATTTGGGGGCACACCCAGCATAGCTCTGGGCTTACTTATGGCTCTGCTCTCAGTGATCACTCCTGACAGGGTTCAGGGGACCGTGTGATATCGGGGATGGAACCAAATCGGCTATGTGCAAGGCAAGCACCTTTCCTGCCTTCCTATCTCTCCATCCCTGGAGTTTTATTCTATAAAGACTTAGGTCTGGGTTAGAGTATCTAAAATATGCTATTCTAGGGGCTGGAGCTATAATACAGTGCTGGGGAAGGCATTTACCTTGCACGCAGCTGACCTGGGTGTTGGTCCCCAGTATCCCATATAGTTCCTGAGCCCCACCAGGAGTGATCCCCGAGCACAGAGCCAGGAGTAAGCTATGAGCACTGCCAGATGTGCCCCCCCCAAACAAAAATAATATAAATATGCTCTGATATTTTAATTATAGTTTATTTTGAGGGGATGGTTGGACCATGCCTCATGGTACTCCGGGGCTCCTCCTCCCTGTGTTCTGAGGAGTGAACCCTGGCAGTGCCCAAGGGTGCAAGTGCAGTGCTGAGTATCAAACTTGGGTCAGCCGCATGTAAGGCAAGTGCCCTAACTTCATCTCTCCAGTCCCTTCATTCATTGCTTAATTGTTAATTGTGCTTATTTTGGTTTTAATTGGGGGTTGGGGGCACACCTGGAGGTGCTCAGGGACTCTCAGCCTGTGGTCATGCTCGAGGTCATTCCCAGTGGCATTCAGGCCATCTTACAGCACCCAGGATGGAATGCAGGTCTCACAGGCAGAGCCAGATGCAGCCCAATAATGGTGGATTTTAAATAATCATAAGTTTCAGTGAGAAAATCCACCCAGGGACCGGGACAGAAGTACAGTGGGGTGGGCATTTGCCTTGCATGCAGCCGAGACCCAGGTTCGATCCCCGACATACCATGTGGTCCCCCAAGCAATGCCAGGAGTAAGTCCTGAGTGCAGGGCCAGGAGTAACCCCTGAACATCTCTGGGTATGACCCCAAAAATCCAAACAAAACAAACAAAAAATACCCCCAGTAAGAGGTCAGTGACTTCTAAGAAACATAAAAAGGAAAGTGGAAGGACCAGGGCCTTCTGGACCAGTATGGTGGGTCGGGTGTTTGCCTGACCTAGGTCCCCCAAAGCCCAGCCAGGAGTCATCCCCGAGTGCAGACCCAGGAGCAAGACCCGAGTACCACTGGATGTGGCCCCCAAACAAACAAAAAAAGAAAGTGGAGTCTAACCTCTCCCCCTCCCCTTCACGGAAGGAAGTTGGATGACAATGAGGCAGTGAAGGTTGGGGTGGGGGGGTTGGATGCCCTTCCAGTTTGGGTGAGAAAGCTTAAGAACTGGAAGACTGTCACGTGCACCAGTGACTGAGGCCCCACAGAGGCCTCTGACAGGAAGTCTGTCGGTGGGGGAGATAAGAGCTGGCTGCTTCCTGCGGGTTCTGTAAAAACATGGGGTCACATGAACGCAGTGCGAGCAGCGCCCTCCGTGTATGCTGGGGGTGCTGGGTATCACTGTTGACCAGGTCCAGGCCTCAGGTCCCATGCAGCCCATCTGCCATGGGCTCTGCCTGATTCAGAAGCCCTCACTTCTTGGGGCTGGAGCTACAATACAGGAGGGAGGGCATTTGCCTTGCATGCAGCTGAGATCCGGGTTTGATCCCCAGCATCCCACAGGGTCCCCCAAACACTGCCAGGAGTAATTCCTGAGTGCAGAGCCAGGAATCACCCCTGAGCATCACCAGGTGTGACTCAAAAAAGAAAAAACAAAAACAAAAGCCCTCATTTCTGGCTGCAACCCTTCTCCATGTGCCCTGGCTCTGCCCCCAGGGTCACTCCTGGTGGAACTTGGGGGATCCTATGTGGTGCCAGGGACGGAACCTGGGCCGGCTACCTGCACGGCAAGTTCTTTACCTGCTGTCCTATCTCTCCAGTCCATCAACTGTCTCGGTTTTGGACCGAGTGACAGGATCTGTAAGCGGCGCCCAGCACTGCTTTTTTGAGTCCTTCTTGTGGAACCTTCTAGACTGCACAGGAGTTCCTCTGGCACAGGCTCTAGGAACCTGGTGCCACATGCCCCTTCTCTGTCTCCTTCCTGGCAAATTCCTGCAGCTCTGCACGCCCACGGGTTTGTTTCGTAAACCTCACTGCCCAGAGGTGCAGAGAAAATTTGTGGGTGGGTTCTGAGGTCTCTGGCTCCTTCTATCCTCCCCAGCCTTCTTTTCAGGAGCTGCTTGGCACCCCAGAGGGAAAAGTCAGACCAAACCTTCATGCCCTTGGAAGTCTATCTAAAAATAGCTGAAGTATTTTCTTTCCTAGGAGATCAAATCACGTCAGCTAAGAAACAAAAAAATTTTCTCAGG